TCATGGGACTTACATATTTAAAAAACTTTTTCGAGAAATTGCAAAGACGTTACTACTTGCAAAGTAATTTACTATATTAATAATATATATTTTTATTGCATGATAAACGGTTCCAATATTTTGCTCTCACACAAACTAAAATTGATTGTCTGAATGTAAACAAAACATAACTATACTTAAATCCCATCAACAAACATAATTAAGTAACAAGCAGAACGACTTGTTTCTTAATAGGATGCAATAACTCCTACCTTTATGATTTTGTCTAGCTACAATATTTTTCCTTTTCATTATTAAAATACAATATTACCAACCTCACTAGTTTTTGCCTTATTTAGAATGTAAAATCTTAACAATCAAATTTAGTTATAAAAAGTTTTAAGCGATTGAATTAAAATATCCGTGTCGTTCTGGATACAGCATAACAGATAACTCGACGACCAAATTTATTAACTCTTTAGTTTATTAAGCTACATTAATAAAATAGAAGGAATAGCAAATTTAAAAGTTAATACTTTCTAATTGAGAACTAAACCTTTTTATATGTCTTTCTTTTATAAAGACCTAGAATGTACAGAAGTTAATTTAGATTTATTATTTTTTGTTTTTTGCCGGCTTGAATATGGTTCTAAATCAAATAAAAACTTTATTCTCTCTGAATTTATGGTCCTTGCTCACTTCTTATCCACTTATTCTATTGCAAAAACTCAGAAGTAAACTAATTAAATGTTCCTGGAAGTAAATGCACAGGAAAAAGTTTTGTAGTTCAACTACTAAATAAATTTCTGTTTTAAAAAACTTCAACTGCATATACATACTTTAGAGGTAAAAGTAAATATATTTAAGTTTCTCGTCCAATTCAGTAATTTTTTTTTTTTTCAAAATTTCCTTTCATTTTTTAAATATCTCTGTATCTAATTAGTTGAATATGCACATAAGTGCATGAGTATGAAAACAAAGAGAGTATGAGTACTTTTTTAAGATTTATCGTGAGAGTACCTTCAAACAAGTCTAATAGATTGTCATACTTGCTAAGGATAAGAAAAATTGCGCTTTTGAAAATATAAATACCTTAAATATGAAATCAGAATAGATGTTTTACATTAACTGTGTTTATATTTATCTGTTCTTCTCATCTCTTTTGTTACTTAAGTCCGGTGCAAGGTTTTTGCACCCTTTTTATTGCCTTCTGCAGGTACTATCTTAATAATTATCTTTTCTTTATTAAAACCGTATTTTATTATAAAATGAAATGAAATAGGCCAAAATTGTTCTTAATCTATGAACTGGACTAAAGCGATTCAAACATCTAAATTATGATCTGTCTAACTATTGCAGGTGAACAACAACATTGCAGGTGAAGTTGGAAACGATTAAATTATACCCTCTGGTAACCATCTATCAGAACTGAGAATCTCTGAGAGTATTATCAACGACAAGTGCTCTCCCTTACTGGACTGTATATTAAATATAACTTCGTAACATTACCACAAAAATATGTGGTAATAAATAAATATTACATTATTTTTATGTAATAATTACACTAAACATCGAACACTATATATAATATAATATCAGGTATTTATTGGTATTATCCTAACATAGTATTAGGAATTTACTCAAGTTTAATACTATTATCGCACTATCCTCGCGGGATTTCAATTTGCTTGTAATTAATCCGCAAACTGAAATTAAATTACCGTTTATTTCCATGTCAGCTTATGAACGTACAAGTTTGTTGTTTAAGTTACTTGTATAGAATATTAATGTATTCATTGTGAAATACAAATTATGATGAATAAATATTATTATGAGTATAATTTTTCATATTTATAGTATCTTAGTATCTTAGTTATTATATGAAATATCGTGTTATATTTATTTAAATATTTCGAATAAGGATCATTTATAGATATATTTTTATAAGTAAAAAATCAAACGAAATAATGTTTAATGTTCAACAAACAATTAAGAACTTATTAATGTGAACAATTATATAAATAAAATCGTAAAATATATGACAAAAACTTTTCGTTTGAAACAAACTGTGTCTTAAAGGGGTGTAAAGTTAATAAAATAAAATAAAAATAAGTTAATCACTCTATACTATTTAATTATGCAATTCAAAGTAAAAATATATATTTATCAACAGATAACTGAAACCACGTGCATATTACTTTTTCATATTTTTTAAAATCATTGGTTAACAAGTTACAAATAAACTTCTTAAAAAACATCTTGAGATTAACTTAGATACTTAGGAAACTAAATGTCGAACTCTTATGGGTTTGCCTTTAGAAAAAAAACTAAGAACCAACATATTTAGGAAATAAAACAATATAAAATGCCAACATATACTCGTATTACACATATGTTTTTATTTCATTAAAAGTGACATAATATGTTTTTGAGTACTTCCAAATAATATTATAATTATTAATTTTATAAAAAAAATGCAATGAAAATATTTCAGGCATTCTAGATTAAAATAAGTTTTAATAAGCTGTAGATATTTTTTAACTTTATTTTTACTAACATTATGTTTTAAAAATTTTGCTACATGTTACATAATAAAATATGAATAAATAATAATAGTTGAAATTCATGTTACTTAAATAGTAAACATAAAAGAAGACGAGAGGTATCCGAAAACGTTAGTTTCACTTAAATGTACACTTTAAAATCTTACATATCATTAGAGAATTCAGAAATAGTAGACACTTAACAATGATTATGAATTAAATATGAATTATAAAACACAATTTACTAATATGTGTAGTAATTGATGTAAAAAGATATGTACTTCTTTGTTTATCTATTATTATTCTTTTAAAGATTTTTTTATTAAAAGCCTTTTTAAAAAGTACTCAGGATCTCAATTAAACATTAAAGTATTGAAGGTGTTTTGGTATCATATTTAAAGTTTTCTCCTTAATAAAATGTATAAAGAAAATAAAAGCAATTTTACAATCTCATTAAAGTACTTTCAAATAACTTATTTAAATTAATATGGAAATTTGAATTGTTTTGCAATATCACATATAAACTTAAGTGCAAATAATATTCTTCATGATTTTGTTGTCCCGTTCTACGAAACATTGAAAGATTAGTATCTTAACGCCCGATTATGGTTGTAATTATAATTAAAAAGAGTAAACTGTGTACTATTTCAAATTTGAAAAGTTGGAAAGGATAGGCTGATGACCTTTGTAAAGTATAACATAACTACAAACAGAAATGTTTTTACCATCGACGAAACCGGCTACTTACTCCTTAAATAAGTATTCAAAATATTCCCCTATATTCGGACTAATTTAATAAATAAATAATTCTAAACATTACTTGACTGTAGTTTCTACGTACAAAAATGTTTCACAACAAAATATCAACAATCATTGCTCCTTTATTCAGTACCATTACTAAAATATATTATCGTTAAGGACATTTCCTGATTTTTTAGGTCAGATTTTATTACGAACGTTAACTCAATCCAAGGTAATAAGAACTTTTTCGTTATACAAGTAAGTGCTTCAATTTTCAGAAATTCGATGTGATTTTTTTGGTACTAAACCGTTTTATTTTCAGTGATGTATTTCTCTTTCATTATCAGTTTATTTTAAAATTTACGGAAGTAATTGGTATTTCTTAGGAAGTCACTGAATAACTTTATTTTGTCAACTTAAGATATATTAAAACCGAGAATGTTGTAATTAACATTTATTAAGACGTAAGCATTAGACCATCCTTATCCTTTGTTTAACAGCCTTTGTAATGTTTGCACACCTTAGTTGATAGAACGTTTGAACTTTCTTAATAACCATATTGCATAAGTGAATTACTTGAAGAGAAGACACACAATAACGAAGTCTTAATTGTTAAGGCAGGTTGTGTACCTGAACAAACTCGGGTCTAAGTGATTGGATATACTTGTAACTTTATTCAATTAAATTGATCCTAAAATAACAATTTAAGATGACTCGAAACGTTTTTATAGAGATATTGTTTTCGTTTATTATTATGTTACATTTTAAGAACCTTATAAATAAAAAATCAAAGTGAAAATGAATTGATAAGCTGTATAATTTATTCAATTATTATTTTTTCCAATACTCACACAGACTTATTTCATAAAATTTATCTTTATCGGTTTAAATATAATTAAAATTCACATGCAATGGTATATTCCCCTCTAACCAAAATAATTATTGCTAGCTCCAACGAAAATTTCATCAACATTTGTTTTCTTAAAAATGTTGAAACATTTATAAAGTCTAAATTTTGTTACTTTTAAGAAATGATTAGTCACCTTTGTTGATATTACATATTAATGAAAAAAATCCCTGTTTTATAGTACCATTGCATCCCAAAACATTTTGTGGTCTGTCAATGAGATCTGAACTCCAGTATAATAGGTGAGTATAATATCAAATGATGTTAACTCCTTTATGGTATATAGCTTTAGAATAGTCATCACCTTAACTTCTAAAAATATTTTTTAATATTAAAATCTTTAGTAATTTTTTAACAAATGTTTGTATTATTTTTATGGGGAATATACATATAATGTTTGTAGTTGCTTAAAAGTTTACCATGAAAAAAAAATGAAATTGAATTTCGGAAATATTTAAGAATGACAAATTGAATATGGGTTTTCCAAGATAATTTCAGAATAACTAGCATAACAGTATAGATATTGTAGCGGTTATGGTGCAGAGATTAATGAAACTACGAGTGAGGTTGAAACTGGAATGAATTTTATTGCAGATAAAACGAATATTTATACCTTTTAAGATGCTAACAAGCAGCGTACGAGTGTAGATTACTCTAGAAAGAGACGGTATTATCGGACGTCTCGATCGAGCGTGCGAGTGTAGATTATTCAAGAAAGAGACGGTATTATCGGACGTCTCGATCGGAGGTTATAAATATAAGTGGTGATTCCTTCGCTCGCCTCGGCAGTCCGGCACAGTGCGGCGAAGGCGTATGCACATCACTCCCCCTCAAGAGAAGCGTACAGTTTTCTTAACAATGCGACCACTTCTTGTTGTATAAGGCTGTTCTGGAACTGTGCGCTTCGATGAAACTCCTCTCACCGTATTCGTTGCTCCTGAAGTACTGACTGTCGTGTCACTGAATGTGAAGGCGGGCTTGAGCCTGTCCAGCGACACGACAGCAGTACGGAGAGGCATTTTTATTTTGAAATATTTTTCATGTTTTTTTAAAACCTCGTACGGTCCGTCGTACGGCGGGGTGAGGGGTGCTCGGACGGAATCATTCCTTACGAAGACATGAGTGCACGTTTCAAGGTCCTTGAAGATGAATGGCTTGTTCTCATGTGACCGTTGCGGTGCAGGTGCTAGTGTAGCCATCGTGCGAGTGAGACGGCGTACCAAATCTGCGTCTTCGATTTCTGTTCCAGTCGGCACTAAGAAATCCGATGGCACGCGCAACGTGGCACCATATGTCATGAGTGCCGGGCTTACGTTGCTGTCTGCTTGCAGTGCAGTGCGTAAGCCTAACAGTATGGTAGCTAACTCTTCTGACCACTGCGCAGCCCCCCCGCGAGACATTAATGCGGTCTTCATAGTTCGATGCCATCTCTCTATCTGTCCATTCGCCTGTGGATGGTAGGCCGTGGTGCGAATTCTAGTGATGCCAAATCTCTTTAATAATGAATTGAATAAGTTCGATTCGAACTGGCGTCCTTGGTCGGTAGTTATCCGAAGAGGACAACCAAATCGGGCTATCCAGTTGTCATAAACTACTTGAGCGATAATTTCGGCTGTGATGTCTCGTACAGGTACTGCTTCGGGCCATTTTGTGCAACGATCCATCATGGTTACACAGTATCTATAGTCGTTGGATAATGGTAGGGGTCCGACGATGTCAATGTGTACGTGCTCGAAGCGTTGAGACGGTGGAAACTTATTAATTGGTGTAACGACGTGCCGGTGAACTTTAGCACGCTGACAACCTATGCATGATTTTGTCCACATGTTCACTTCTTTGTTCATTGCAGGCCAGAAATATTTGCTTGACATTTGTTTGCGTGTTGCTCTAACGCCTGGATGACATAGGCCGTGTACAGCTTTGAAAGCTTCGTAGCGATAAGCTGCGGGCAGATATGGTCGAAATGTTCCTGTCGATATCTCGCATGTGATTGGTCGCGAAGAATAGGGCGGGGTTATTTCTCGAAATTTCAGATTGGGTTGTTTCTTCAATAATTTCAATTCTTCATCTATGTGCTGGTCCGCGCTAAGTTGTTCGTAGTCGATAGTCGTGGGGCAGTCGATTTCATATAGCCGTGATAATGCGTCGGCAACTGGATTTTCTTCTCCTTTGATATACTTAATGCTCGAACAGAATTGACTTATGAAATTAAGTTGTCGTTCACGTCTTGGTGTGTCGGTCGAACTTGCTGATCTTGTTAGTGCGTAAGCGAGCGGTTTGTGATCTGTATACACAGTTACATCGCAGCCTTCGATTAAGCGACGAAAATGTTTTACAGCTGCGTAGATCGCCAATAATTCGCGATCGTACACACTGTAGCGACGCTGAGTAGCACTCATCGTTTTCGAGAAAAATGCCAATGGCTTCCAGTGTTTTTCGACTTCCTGATTGAGAACAGCGCCTAGGCTGTGATCTGATGCGTCTGTCATGATAGCGAGAGAGCTGCCTGGTAGAGGATGACTGAGTGTGGTGGCCTCCGTGATGCTTTTTCGGCAATTTTCAAAGGCTGATTCTGCTTTTGCAGTCCAAGGAATAGGCGTTTTGTCGTTCTTCTTTCTGTTGTGTAAGTATTTGTTGAGTTCAAGTTGAAGTTCAGCTTGATGAGGTAAACAATCTCGGTAAAAGTTTAGCATTCCGAGAAAACGGCGGAGTTCGATGATTGTTTCGGGTTTCGGATAGTTCGTTATAGCTTGCACGCGTTCCATTGCAGGTTTGATGCCGGCGTGCGATACTTCGTAGCCTAGAAAGTTTATGTTTTCTTTACCAAATTCACATTTGTCCAAGTTCAATGTTACGCCATAAGTGTCCAATCGTCGAAGAACTTGATGAAGAAGTTTTTGATGCTCTTCTTCGTTCTCAGCTGACAGGAGAATGTCATCAATGAAACAGAAGCATCCTTCTATCCCTCTCAGTACTTCATGCATGAAGCGTTGAAACGTTTGACTTGCGTTTCGAAGTCCAAAAGTCATACAGTTGAATTCAAACATTCCAAAGGGTGTAATGATGGATGTTTTCTGCGCATCTTCTTTTGAAATAGGGATGGAGTAGTAAGCCATTTTCATATCCAGCTTGGAGAATATTTTTTTGTTGTGAAGTTGGTAAGTAAAATCTTGAATGCGTGGTATCGGGTAGCGGTCGGGAAGAGTGACTGCGTTTAAGCGTCGATAATCTCCACATACACGTAGTGTGCCATCTTTCTTCTTGACTACATGAAGCGGACTTGCCCAAGGACTTTTTGAAGGTTTGCATATTCCCATCTCCATCATACGGTTGAATTCTTCCTTGGCCGCTTTGTATTTGTCCGGTGGAAGAGGTCGCGGACGACAGGAGAGTGGTGGCCCGGTTGTTTCAATATAGTGTACCACTTCATGTTGTGGCGGTCGTTTCAGTGACATTGGTCGCAAAACATTAGTGTAGTGCTTCAAAATGTCATGATAAACTTGATTGCTGCTGACAATGTGGATTGATTCGCCAAACATTTTGGTTTCCAGGGCATCAACTGACAGTTGTGTGGATTTGTCAATTAGTTTCTTCTTATGTATATCCACCAATAGTTTGAAGTGACATAGAAAGTCGGCGCCTAGTATTGAAGTTTTCACGTCAGCGACGACGAATGTCCAGCGAAAGTTGCGACGTAGACCTAAGTTTAGATCGATGGTCTTGGTTCCATACGTCTTGATGGGTGAACTGTTTGCTGCATATAGTGTAAAGGTTGTTGAAGACTTGGTGCTTTTCTTGTGAGTGGCGGCCAATACAGATATGTCTGCGCCTGTGTCCACGAGGAAACGTTCATGAGAGTCGCGATCGTGTACACAAAGGCGTTTACTGGTGCTGTTGACACCGACGTCCGCCACAGTCGGTGTCGGCATTAGTTTTCCGACTTCTTATTTCTTCTGCAACACGGAGAAACGCAGCGCTTCGCTTTATCACCGAATCGGAAGTGATACTTGCATTCCCATGTAGCATCTCCCGGCTTTACTTTTGAGGTCTTGCGTAATCTCGAATGCGAGCGTGAGCGTGAGTGAAAGGGACGGCGATATTGGCGATACGGAGCACGACCACGTCGTAGTTCAGCAACTTCGAGGGTAAGATTTTCGATTTGCTTCGCTAATGCTTCATATTGTGTAGAAGAGGTTGTTGCGCTCGAAGATGACACTGCGGAGATGCTGGGACGTTCAGTGTACTCTAACATTTTGTCGGCCATCGCGGCGAGTGTGTCTAAGGCAGCCTCCGTGTTCACCGATAGTACGACACGGACTTGAGTAGGCAGTTGATTCAACCATTCGATTCTAAGTCCTTCATCTGTTACCATGCCGCTACTCAATTCTCGCATTTTTCTTAAGAGTTGCGAAGGTTTCTGGTCTCCGAGTTCCAGACCACTGATGAGTTTTTGAAAATTCTTGACGTCGGATTTTTCGTAGGCGGCAAGTAGTCGTGTCTTCACTGCTTGGTATTTATCAACGGCGGGTGGCTGATATAAAATATCAGTGAGATGTTGGAGGTCGCTAGATTGAAGTTGTTGCAGAACGTAGCGAAACTTTTGGTCATCGGATGTCTTAAGCGGGTCGACGACGGCTTCGAATTGAATAAACCAGGCTCTGGGATATTCGCGCCAAAACGGTAGTAGTCTTGACTGTACAGAGATTGCGCTTATATTTTCGCCGCTGATAATTTCTTCTTGCTTTTTTTCTTCCATAATGTTTCCTACGAGTTCAGCTTCTTGGTCGGGGTCACCAGATGTAGCGGTTATGGTGCAGAGATTAATGAAACTACGAGTGAGGTTGAAACTGGAATGAATTTTATTGCAGATAAAACGAATATTTATACCTTTTAAGATGCTAACAAGCAGCGTACGAGTGTAGATTACTCTAGAAAGAGACGGTATTATCGGACGTCTCGATCGGAGGTTATAAATATAAGTGGTGATTCCTTCGCTCGCCTCGGCAGTCCGGCACAGTGCGGCGAAGGCGTATGCACAATATACATACATATAAGTCTTTGAAAAAATACTGTTTTTATCGATGTTATGAATATCAAAAGACTATCTTCGTATTTAAACTTATAGTTTATCTTATAAATAATATAATAATAACCTATTTTACAACTAGACATTTTATTTATATTAATTAAAATGAAATTATATTTTTATTACGAATCTATTTTTGTATCAAAAATAAGAACATTACTCGCAAACATATAACCATTTAACCCACAACTGACGTATACTGAGATTCGCAAACAAGTAAAAATTTTTTTATTTTTTTTTATGTGAAAGGTGGCAAACGAGCAGACGGCCCACTTGATGGAAGGTGGTTACCGTCGCCCATGGACATCCGCAACAAAATGTTGCGGATGCGTTGCCAACCTTGTTTTTTGAGGATAGGGAATAAGGAAATGAAAGGAAAGGGTAGGAATAGGGAAAGGGCATCCGGCTCTCTCACTCATCAGACGAAACGCAGCCATTAAAGGCTACTTTACGCCGATCTTCTGTGAGAGGGTGGTACTTCCCCGGTCGAGCCAGCCCATGTTCGAGCTGTAGTAACTCACCACAGCAAGGCTCTACCACCTTCAAAAGGCCTAGTTCTAGTTCCCCCATAACAGTTTCCATTAAATAATAAAAATCTTAACATTGTGTAAAACATGCTAAGGCTCTAATAATAAATTGTAAAACCAATTGTTGAGTATTTGAACGTTTAAATTTCTGTACACAAATGTTAATAGCATTCATTTACAATATTATAATAAATATACAGATAGCGCTACTTGACTATCATAAGAATTCCCAATAAATATTAGAATATAAATAAGGTTAAGCTTAGAATTGTGAAGTAGACAATAATTTAAATCATTATAGATAATTATTACTAACAATACTGATAAAATCTATACATTTGACAACAAAATACGTTCCTAGGTATATGTACAGAAAAAGCTCTCTGAAAAGAACATAAAATTTTTATATACAATTTTTAATGAATTTACAAACGATACGTCACAGCTTATAACAATGGTAAATTCTATAGTTGAAGTATAATTATGTACTATTATATATATATTCACTAAAATTCTAATAGCTTTAACGACTAAAATTTGCGAAATTCAAGACAGATCAGAGCCGACAGATCACGTCTTCTTCAATATTATAGTAAGAGTAATATAAATCACAGTGTTATTTAAACCAATCAATTTAATGGGGCGTGACAGTTCTTTGTAACGTTTCACAGTCTCATGACACTGAAAGAAACTTGGATTAAGATTTAGAATCAAGTACAAATAAATAGTTTTATATTAGTTTCATTTATATAGAAATTTTGTTTGAAATATTTGTTAGTCTATTCCTTTCTCTACTTCCCCAATACCAAAACTCTTTAAGAGGCAACATTATCATTAAAATTGCATGACACGATTGTCGATTCCACGTTTTGTTTTTATGTTGGTTTTTTGATAAATCAAATTTAGTCTACTGAAATAATTTGAAATTTATTTTAACCATAAACGTGTATAGTGCATATAAAAGTTTTTGAACACTTTAAATAAACAAAAAATCTTCTTAAATTTAAAAATGAACCAATATTTCCAAATTGACTAATTGAAGGTTTTCAAATCTCTTAAAAAAAAAATCTCTATTGCATTTTCTTTTATGTCATCATTTTCTTGTGACATCACAAGGTCACAAAAGTCGTTATAGTAAAACTGAAACATCATACAAACCTTGTAAAAAATCTCAAATTAAATTCGTTTGTTTAAATGAAATAGAAAAGTAAGAAAATTGGGCATAGAACTGTATTATTTTAAGTTAGTAAAAAATCATGATAATTATTTTTCTATCATTATTGTTTAACAAGATAAGAAAATGGACATTTGTAGCTCTAGGAAGCTGTAACAGTAGAACAAATAATACTCTCCCTTCCAATTATATCACACCTCAGGGACCACTAGTAGCTTAAACGCTGATAACGGAATGATGTTAATGTTTTATAATCTGATATTATCAAGAACAAATGAAGAAAAGAATCTTTTAAGGTATATTAAAATATCGCTTTTTGAACTTAAAAACAAACATGAACACTAATTAATAAATGGAATTCGAATATAATACAACTCTGAGCTGGACAGTGAGGACGCAAATATAATAAATTACACCAGGCACGTCCTCCACCACTAAATTTTGGTATAATCATTATATGTAGTACTTACAGATAGTAGCATATTCATAATAGTGTTTGTTGAGCATATATAAATAACATTTGATACATAAAAAGTAAACATGTTTTTATTGATTGATAATAATTCTATCCTTCTAATATATTTTGCAAGTTATTAATCCTTATAATTTAATGGTCTTAGTTAAATAGAGATATGGGGCAGAAACAATTTTTGATGTCGTTCTAAACTAAAAATACCATGTATCATAATAAGCATCGTTAAAATACATATATAATATGACACAAATTTCAATTCATCAAAAAAAAATTGAAATAAGTTACGAAGAAATATTAGGGTAAAATTGGAATAAAAATATTTATGTTTTTTATAATTGAAGAACACAATTTAAAAGAGTTTTTTTACAACAAGAAATATTCTTTAATCAACGAAGCCTATGGTCACCTCTTATTAAGGGTAATTGGATTGAATCACTTTGCATATAACAACACTGCTAGTATGTGGTTCACGTTAAAAGTTGCTAATAATAAAGTAATTTTATAGCAACCATGGCTGTTAAAAATATCGATTTTAGTCAGTAAAACAAAAGTGTTACCTGAACTCAAAGTAATTATAATAAAAATATTTACCTTAATTACCTTAAGTATTGATTAACGCATTAGTGTGTCTTCAGGCTACCTGTGCAAGTGAAGTCACAAAAATAAGTTTTGGTGACTTTAAATAGAGGCGAGGGTTCACATTACAAACTTGAGCCATACCAGCGATCGGATCCGTTAAAAATAAAAATAAATAAATTAAAAATAAAGCATTCATCAAACCGTCTATGAGGTTCCCTTCAAATTTCAATATCCTGAGAGCCTGACGATAATCAACAACCAAGGCATCTGTGAAGTCAGTAAAGCTGACGTCACTCCTTTTAAAAAATGATGAAGTGGTATTAACCCCAACATTATATATTAAAAAAATAATAAATATTATTTAGATACAGCTGCAATACGAATATGATATATGATTTGAATTCAATATTTAAAAAAGTAGTAATGTCATAAGTGCATACAAAGTTACATATACAAAATGGTGTTGAAAAAGTTATAAAAAACAAACATATAATATATAAACTTCACTATTTAAAAATACTATTTCAGTTTACTATAATATCTTAGAAAAAAAATCTATTGCTTTGCGGCAATATCTAGGATAAACGCGGCTGAGTTTAGAACCCTAGAACTGTGATACTTCTCTGCTTATAAGACGCACTGCGCCAGTGACACTAAATTCTATTGCTTTACTTGCCCTGTCTCTGACAGATCCAGGGTACACCAACATAGCGGCCGATGACTTTCGCAGTGGTTTTAGTGAGATTGGGGGCTGCCCAGGTCGAGTCTTACACATCCCTTCCGGCCCCTCCAAGGGCCGGTTGGACGGCTCGTAAAAAGAGTTTCTCTGCGTAATCAAAAAAAAAATATCTAGGACAGTATTTGGTTCGAGCTGTGATCTCAAATACTTAACAACTCAAAAACTTCTACACTCGGTGACCCCTTACTGATTAAAGTTTGATGGCCCAAATATTTTCTGTTATGAATTTTGAATATCTATTAAAAGGGAATCGTTATTAATTTCAACATTTTTATTTACTTAATGATCAATACAAAAATATTTTTAATTACCTTTTAAAATCAACTTAATTATAAAAATAAAATATAAACATTATTACAACGTTTTTTTATGTTAAAGGTGGCAAAAGAACAGACGGCCCACTTGATGGAAGGTGGTTACCGTCACCCATGGACATGCGCTACTACATATTTGTTGCGAAAGCGTTGCCAACCTTGTTTTTTAGGGATAGGGAGGGGTGGGAATAAGGAAATGGTAGGAAAGGGTAGGAATAAGGAAAGGGCAAATGGCTCTCTCACTCATCGGACGAAACGCAGCCATTTCAGGCTACTTCACGCCGATCTTCTGTGAGAGGGTGGTACTTCCCCGGTCCAGTCAGCCCATGTTCGAGCTGTAGTAACTGACCATAGCTAGGCTCTACCGCCTGGAACGTATGTAAGACTTTCAACACATTATAAAATTTCTATTCAATATTCATGTATTTGAAGCTTTTGAAACCTCAATAACTTACATTACATAGAAACATACTAGTAAAATAATTTATCATGATACTAAATGCGACTTTTTCAATTTCAACCACCATTAAATTAATTGTAACAATATCAAAGAGTACAGATATAGCCACATAAAAAGTTACTTTGTACCCAAGAAATATAATAATATTATCTTATTGTATCTTCAGGAAAATGCTACTAATAAATGAAGCTACGATTTTCGAATTTACTTAGTAATTTAATTATGTTACATTTTTCCCGACATTTTGTATATTTTGGAGTAACTTTGATCACTTGCTTCATCACTTGGTTTTATAAAATGTGATAGTCGTTGTTAATCACTTTTAAGATTGGAATGTATAAAGATTCATAGTACTTTTCTTGTAGTATGGTTTATACATTAATTTGCAAAAAAACTGTTATTGAACTGCAATGTGTTTCAAAGTTCTAATCATCATATCCTCTTGGAGGAGAAAATAAAATTTAAGTTTTAAATCATTGATGTGTTCGCCAAAAATTATTTTGTACATAATACAAAAAAATAAAATCATTGTATGTATATATGTACATATTATGTACTGTTGAAGAAATAAATTAATTGCCATATTTTTAAAGATTTTATTGCTGTATTAGTTTTTATTATAAACAAGAAATGATAGCATATTAATATCACGATTTTAATATAAATTTTGTTTCAAAATTTTTTGAGATACTGAAA